ACCCGTCGAAGTTCCTCCCTCTCGCAATCACGCATCTCTCATCTGAAAGATTAATTAAGATCGAAAGTCCTCGACGATGTGAATCCTCTGACACGCTTGCGTTCCCCAGACTGAATCTTCCCAATTCGTCTTCCTTCTTCCCAGTTCCTTTCCTCGGTCTCGATTTCTCTTCGTTCGGGATTAGACATTCCGTATTTCCCCTTCTTTGTATTGGCAATAGATATCTGCTTTCCTATCGTATAGTGGGAGTCGACGCTTCCGCATCATTAATTAAAGGCTCGATCGAGTTCCAAATTTCCTTTTTCCTCTTTCGTTCTCGCTGTCTCGTTTCTGCGAAACTGCGCTGGACCTCAAGTATAGGAGTCGTCCAAAATTGTGCGAAGTTTCTTGCGTGCGTCTCCCACCTTTTCGTTCGTTCACGTTCTATTCATTTCGTACTTCTAACCATGGGAAGCAAACGAGACATTACTTTCGGTACCCATGGTAATTGTGTTGCGATTTTCGCCACCGATCGAGAAGAAAGCAAGGGAAGCGTGACACCCGCATGCAGGCAGTCCCGTAGCAATAATAAGCACTTCGAGGAGGATACGGGAAATTTCGTCTTCTGCAACTGGACTATATAATCATAATGATTATGAGCACCCAGTGACGGAGCCGGGGGGCCATTCGCCTCTTTTGGCCCCCCTGACAGGAATGTCCGATGACTCAAGTATCTCAACTCACCTCTAGCAAAATGACGTGCGTAAATTCGGTCTCTGTCGGCGAAAGAGTAAAAAAGTTTGCCTATATAAGGAAGCGAAGGGTTGCGTCAGAAAGAATTTTTCTCCTCGCTTCGCTTTGCTTTTCAGATCAACACCTTACTTTTTGTCGTTTTCATGGGAGATAGCAAGGTCCCAATACAACGGCTTTGGCCTCATATAGAACTTGTTTGACCTCACAAAAAATTAGACCTAGCTACTCCTTTGTCCCGTGACGCTTCAGGAATTCGAGGTGCAATACCAGATAACCGTGCCCGGGGATGAAAGCGGTTCTACGAAATACAGTACGAGTTATATAGTAGATAACATTGATGATGCAGAGGTGATCTTGCACAGCAGTTCTCAACTGGGGTGCCGTGAGAGGCTGAAAGGGGTGCCGTGGGAGGCTGAAAGGGGTGCCGTGGGAGGCTGAAAGGGGTGCCGTGGGAGGCTGAAAGGGATGCCGTGAGAGGCTGAAAGGGGTGCCGTGTGATTCTCATTTAAATAGGACGAGAAGGCATGAATCCCCCCGAACCATGGATTTCCCCCTAGGACTCATGGAAAGCTGCTTACCTGGAATCGAAATTCAATCCTCTGTTGACTGATGCCTATCACCATTCGAAATCCTCTTTGAGTCGGTCTCCGTTGTTCAGGAATCATGGGGACCTATGGGGTGGCATTTCGGGTGTATTCAATCTTCCCTTTCTAATCGCACGCATAGGTTTGATTGAAGCCTTCGGATCCATTGATAATATTTTTTATTGCTGAAATAGAACGTGCTTCTTACACTCTTGTCTTGGGTCTAATAATGTGATTTATCCCTATTCTATTTGTTCTGATGGTCCATGGAATTGTGCAGGAGTGCCACGAATGTCTCGTTACCGAGAAAGGGTGCCGTGGGCGAAAAAAGTTTGAGAAGCGCTGGTCTAGCAGTATTAAATCTACTTACGTTGGAGCTTTTTTCTCCAAATGGCACACTTCTTCACATTCCAGTGACACCAAAGGCATAACATCCGAAACACGATCTCGAAAACTGACTTTTATTGCAACTTCTCGACCGAAAGAGCCACGATTGAAAAATTAAGAGAACGAACTCCTGGGACCTATTCCATGCCTAATCCTAATCTAAAGCTACACTTAATCTGAATCTGAAAGCAGTGATTCGGCATTAAGGTGTTTCTTGAAAAAGTGGGATTAACTCAATGGAAACGGAGGTTGAGTTTTAAGATATATAAGACATATAGCCTCCCATTCGTTGGATGGCTGTGGATCCTGACTGGCATGGGCAGAGGAACCAAAGGGGAGAGGAGGGAGGAGGGAGGAGGAAGGGAGAGGAGGGGGGAGGAAGGGAGAGGAGGGGACTGCACATTCAACTACCTATACCACCAGTCTCCCCCCGGGGCTTTCCAGTCACAACTTGGACAACGCAGTTTGAAACTTCTGAAGAAATAAATAGTAATCATGTAAGTAGGAGAGTTCTGAAACGTGATTAACACTAGAAGTACCGGAGCGGACATTTTGACTGATACCTTAAAAAATCGCATTAAATCATTATTTTGTAATACTTAATTTATTTTTTAAGTTGTTCATGTACAACAGAACTAAATTTTTAAGAAAAAAAGGTCTGTTCGAAAGATGTAACATGTGGAAGGCTGGAAAGGACATTTGAAATGTATATTTAGGGCTGGGCGATATGGAGTTTTTATGTATCGATATCGCCGACCCATATATCGCACGATATCGCAATATCATCGTAGTTCAACGGGGGGGGGGGGGGGGGGGGGTGGAGAGAAACTTAAAAAATAAATTAAGTATTACAAAATAATGATTTAATGCGATTTTTTAAGGTATCAGTCAAAATGTCCGCTCCGGTACTTCTAGTGTTAATCACGTTTCAGAACTCTCCTACTTACATGATTGCTATTTATTTCTTCAGAAGTTTCAAACTGCGTTGTCCAAGTTGTGACTGGAAACCCCCAGGGGGGAATGTAAGAAGGCGTATTTATTTCAGGACAAAGTCAATTCATTTTGGTAATGGATGTTAGAATGAAGTCACTTGAATATATCACATCATAGTAGATTGCGGTTCAAAACAAGAAAGGAGAAGATATTGACGTTCTCTGTCGCAAGGCATGCACGATGCATTGCTTTCTTTTCCCAGGAAAAGAAAGCGATGAGGGAGGATTGTAGTCCGAGGACTATCCTATATCTCCCTCCCTCATCCTATCCGTTTTGTCAAGGCTGACAGCCAATCCCTTCATTGTCCTCACCCTTTGTTCTTTTAAAATAGACACGAATGGCGCAGTTCGTGTGCTCTATTTTCCTTTCCTGTTGTCGCAGGAGATTACTTATTTATTACAAGATTTATTACAAGTATCGCAATATACATACATATCGCCGATAGTACATCTATCGAACGATATCGCGATAATCGGCAGAGCCCTATGTACATTACTTTGTAGAGTCTAGGCATTTACGGAATCAACAAAGGCATGATACTCTGCACGTGTGCAGAGCACTTGCCAAACCCTGCCCTCTCCCACATGGAGCAGCCGTCATGCGCCTTGTTCCCCTCATCATGATCTTTGTAATTTTCATCATTATTTAGGCCTTTCTCATTTTCATTTCTAGATTCAGCTTCTGATAAGTCCTGTAATAGCCGTAAGCACTGCAGTGCAGTATCACGTTGTTTTCTTGGTCTATTCATTTCCACTGCACACAATTTCACAGCAGATACACCGATACAGATATAGCAGAAAAGTTGCAGGAAAAATTAACCTCAACTTGTCCGAAAAAGTAACCTACTATAGCACATACGTGGTACAAGACGTAAGTGTAGCTTTGAAGTTCAGCATCAAGAAAAAGCACGTTTTCACAGCAAATCAGTCATGTGATTACAGCAGGTCGAAAGCACGATAATGTTAGGTCAGACGCATACTAACAGTAGCTTAGACAGTTGCTCACGAAGCCAAATACATTGATTTCGGTCAAAATGACAGCTCCGGTACTTCTGGATATAACGTGTTATATCTCCGTTGATTTTTTGCAACCCTGGGTCTACTGCTCTATTAGGATGTTGAATACTTAGATATAGGAAAAGTGGAATATGCGCAGGCCTTTAGTTGCCAAACGAGCTGAGTAAGTTGCATTTAAAAACAGCTAGCGGTCAAAATGACCGCTCAGGTACTTCTAGTGTTAAAACCTGGTATTAATGCGAATGCAATAAAATGCCCGAATGGAAAGCCGGTGGGAAAGGTGGAATGCGGATGGAGAAGTAGCAGATCCAGCAAGGACATGTTTCGCCGCTCCTGTAATATGGACGATTCTCCGATGAGAAACGTAAGGGAGATGAGGAGAGCAAGGTTTCTGTACGGAAGTGTACACGCGATGAACAGATGCGTCTAGATGCAGTGGCATCTTGCAGTGAGAGATATTGTGTGTGGCCTTAAGTCGAGTTTTTGGGGATATTTTGGGGAAATGACTGGGACTCTTTCGATATCTGAGAAGTGCTCGAAAAAGGGAGAGTTTACTTTCGTACATAACACTTCTGATTGCTGTCAGTGAGATGTAGGGAACGAACTTCAATTGTTTTTCTCGAAACGCAACTTACATCAACGTCTGCGTGAGGGATGATACCAAGGATGATCCCATTATCCCTAGTATGTGAGGTTGGAGAGCTAAGCTAATGGTTGGGAGCAGTCACAGTACTTTAGCCCTTTGGGGTCTTGTGTCGGAAATATTCTGGTCCTGCGTCGTAAGTGTTCCGACTCGTTATATCGCTAACAACTAATTTTCTTGTTACTTTAATCACTTGATTGATTATTGATGCAAATTAGTTACACAATCAATATCGCAACATAACCACGAATATTTGGTAATAAATTGGACCTGGTGGTGCCACCGTGAGAAAAAAAAACTGGTCCCTTAAGGATTAAGGGAGCAGCTTCCAGGTTAGGAGAGTCGTCAGAACATGAGGGAGAGGAATAATGCGAGAGGACAATTGAAGGCCTCCCGGCCCACCTTTAGTGGGTGACGAGAAGGTAAGACCCTCAAGAAAACATCCATTCTTCCACGTCACCAAACAGGAGGTCAAAGAAATATGAATGCTCCCGACAAAGGCATGTCATATCTATAAAACTTCAGGTGAACAGCCTCGTCTGTGCACCATTGTTACGGGGGGATACCATAAATAAGAACATCAAGGGCATAATGCAAAAGGTCTAGGCAGGTTCGCCACACCGTTCCGAAAAGAAACAAATCCGATCGCAACCATTTGAAACTTTATTTTCCGAATTTGATTTTGAAAAATCACTCGAGCGAGCACTTTCGAACATTCGAATGCAAAATGAAATGGAGAGGTGCTTCGGACGTACTCCACTCTGTCTCTCGGAATCGGAATGTTCTCCTCGATTCCATTTAGTCAGAGCCGGCAGATGTGACGGAGGTACGATCTCTTTTCTTCTTCGTCTTCGTCGACGCGAACTTCCACCGCTGTCCAAACGGAGCGAGAACGTCGGAGATGACACACACACCAGTTGCTGCCTGCCGCGACCACAGGTTGGTGTCGCTCTCAGCCCCTACTTCGTCTCGCACACCCCGAATAGTTCCCACGGTACTTAGCGACAACATGCAAAAGCACACAAAGAAAAAAGACCGCTCGGTTTAAGCCATCAGCATTTGGCAAAGCCTTCAGAGACTGCGAAGAAAGAAGCGAAGAAGACGCGGTAGATACAGAGAGAAAAAGTCCACATTTGGCAGGCACGGAAGACCTTTTCTACAGTAGTATCCTCATCACAAGATAGGAGAGCGCCTTTCGCAAAACGATGTCAGCACCTGTGCATTACAATAGGCACTTAGAGCAGGAAAAAGGCGGATGAAATACAAAAATGACCCCACTGGGATATGATACAAGTGAGCACCAATCATCAGTGCCACGCTTTGACGGCCGAGCGATACAAACGACACGACAGCAAGAGATACCATAGAAGGGGAATATAACAAAAAAAAACCCTGGGAATACATAGAAAGCTTGAGACATGGAGAATCGCATGAGATCAGAAACGTCTGTAGAACGATGAAAAGTGGAGTACATGTCGAGTATTAAAGGCATCTTTCATCCTCAGAGAATATTGGGTCCAGGTGAAAATTATAATTAGTCCAACTTCATGTCTATACAAAATATTCTTAACGGACTCATCCTTGCGCGACACGACTTCCCAAAACAAACAGAATACAAAATGAACATATTAGGAGCGAGGCGTAACAAAAGCGAAGAGTGCCTGCGCACTAAGGGTAGAATGACATGATCCTCGAATCCATTTTTCTGCAGAGGTTCCCAGCGAAAACCTTCAATTCCCGTCCACCTGACATTTTTTTAATGAAAAGAGGGCGAGAGGGAAGACATATCATATAAAGAAGAACCATCGGAAGCAGCAATAATTTTTCTTCCTGCTAGCGTTGAGAACACGAGAGACGACAGACGAGATGCACTGCTAATAGGCAGAAACTGAACTATTCCAACGGAATTTTTTCTTGGCCTCAAGGCCAAGAAAAAATTCGATCGCTGAGTCGAAGGAATCGATAGCATCAGAGGATTGGAGACGAAAAAGAATCCTGCGGAGGAATTCATTCGTGTTTCGAGTCTTCAGGTACATTACAGGGGGAAGAAGCAGGGCAGGAGAAAACCGCGACGAGAGCTTTTTTTTATTCCCTACCCACAATCCTCACGATCGGCCAGCTTCCCAAGCGAGAAATTCAATTCCTTCATTTTGATCTGCAGAGCCTCAGAAAGAAACGAAATCGCAAGGGAACCCATAGAGAAAAAGGCAATGCTCCGTTTTTAATGAGTCCGTCTGACTCCCCCAAGTCCGTTTCGATTCCGAGTCGGTCGCTTCTCGTTCGCGAAAACGAAGGATCTCCCAGAGGTAGGATTTAATCGTAGCCTCGCCGAATCCCTCATTTTGGAATGACGACGTTTTTTGCGAACATCTCATCACACATCGAATGGTAACGACCCGAGACGAAAGCGACGCGATACCGGTCGGATGCGAGTCGCCCGGTCCGCGGTAAGAACTCGAATGATGGAAAACGGAAAGGAAGCTTCGCTTTCTGTTCGTCTTCTCTCGTGTCTCAGACTGTAGCCCAACTCCATCACGACGAAAAACGAGTACGAATATACAAGGGAACTCTCTTAGGGATGCGTCCCGAGGCACCCAAAAATCATTTAAAGGACGAGAAGACGCTCACAAACGCGAAAGGACTAGATACGAAACTCTGATATCTCGATTCCTGGCTTCTCGCCGGCTTTCGGCAGAGAAACTCCGCAAACTTTAACGCACAAATCTTGTCGTTCTTCTCCCACTTCGGAAGAAACACTGAGATCTTTTAAGAATATCGAGAAGTCTCGAGAACAATATCTGAATGGCAGCAGCTGATCGTGGTAAGGGAAAACCTCATTTCTTCTACATAAAAAACAAATGGGAGAGATTTCGTGCGATTTAAAGAAACTAGGAATACATGGTGGTTTCAATCCATTCTTCCATGGTGAATTCTGCTGACCCTGCACCATCTCGCTTTTCCATGAAGGTCTCTGCAACAAAGAATCATGACAAGTTTTCATAAGACAATCCTTAAAAAAAAATTATGAGAAATACTTTCAACAGGAATATCTTAAAATCTTTCAAATATATATTATAAAATAAATACAGTCGACTCCGGATAATCGAATACCGCTTAATGGAATACTATTGTACGGTCCTGATTTTTCCACCATAAGATACATTATGAAAAACATCGCATAAAGGAATACGGTTATTAGAATAACCCGCTTAATGGAATAAACTTTCCGGAAACACGGAATACTTTCTTCAGTTCACTGTAAAACGAAATGCTTATTTTTCCCTTTCGCGTTCTTGGAAAGTCTCCTCCAGCCCTGCCCCCGGTCCCACCCTCCGCTTCGCAGAATCAAGGTCACGAGTTCCCACTTGACCGCACTTGACTTCCGTGAAGCGAGGGCGAGGGGAGGAGGGAAGGCAAGCACACCATTTCTTAGATATTGGGGTGTAGGTATAGGCTACAGATGTGGAAAAGTGGCAAATTAGTCTGCCTTTTTTTAGGCGAAAGGGAAAGAAAGTTTACCTAAACTATAAATTGAGCCAGTACGTATCGGTTCTGCGCATTCCAAGTTGACCCTTCGGAAAAGGAAAGATCTCAGCTTGGAAGAAACGATCGCAGTTCTGAATGCACATCAGGACGAAAAGACGACGCAACCTGAACTGGCTCAGTAGTTTGGGACCTCTCAGCCGCGAGTTTCAAAGATCATCAAACACAAGCTAGCAAAATATTGTAATACGCAAAACGCATTCTTAAAAGTGACGAATGCTCAAATACGGGTACTTTACCACAGTATATGCATTTTAAAAGTTCCCTGAAGTACGAAGAAAAGTCCAGTACGATTGTTTCGGTTATTGGAATATTCCGGATTATAGAATAAAAAAAGTTCGTTGGTCCCGTGAGTATTCCATTAAGCATAGTCGACTGTATCTTCGAAAATTCTCATTATTATGGAACCAAGTTTATTCAACTAAATCTTCCCTTGTCTCTATCACAGAGGTGCAGTCAAGATATTTAGAAGGGAGAAGGGAGGAGGGAAGAGGAAGGGGAGGAGGAGGAAGAGAGAGGGGGAGAAGACAGGAACATAAACCCAACAACCAGAGCCAAGGTTTTCTGAATCCCTGGCTTCATCATGGAAACATACTTAATTACTTATTTGGGTAGTTATTTTTAGCTTGTCACATCTTCATGTTCATCACAATCGTTCCAAGCTCGTTTTTAAAGTAAATTTTATTCAACCTGTTGCGAAAAATGGTTGGAGAAGGGACTAACCAAACATGGTTTTGAGCTTCACGGCACACATGACGAACTCGTCAAAGGTCATTGTGCCGGTCTTATTCCCGTAGCGCAAGACGAGGACATTGAGGATGTGGGAGTTGAGGTGATAACCGGCAGAATTCAATGCAAGCCGCAATTCGAAGGTGTTCAGGCAGCCCGAACCGTCACGGTCGTACAACTTGAACGCGGTCTGATGGTAGACGAGAGGCAAAAAAACGTATCACCCTCATCTTCTCGATCTGATGGAGAGCGATGTTTGCCCATGGAGGCAGCATACTCACCTTCCAGGTTCGAATGTCCTTCCAGAGGAGTTTGAACTCTTCCAGGCCGAGTTTTCCCGATCTGTCCACGTCCATCATGGCCACCATGCTGCGACAGACCTCCTTGCTGAACCCTTCAAACTCGAACTCTGTCATTTTCCCAAGGGCAAAATGAAAGATGCATTTCAGTATCTGCACTCCTTAAGCGAGGAAATTTTCTAACATTACTTTTTTAAGAACCTTTGGTATGATTCTACTTTAAAGAGTCACGTAGTGAGATCGAAAACATATTTCAATCGCCATCAGTTATTGAATAAATAAGTTGCAATTTTGACAGCAAAGAAGCAAATGACTTCTGAAGGACTTTTTCCAAAGTGAAATTTTCTCTTGTTAGCTTAGTAAAGGAAAAGATTTCCTTTCCAAAGATTATAGGACGAAATTCCATGTTTCCCCATATACATGATGCTGGTATTGAAGAGCATCAGTTGCCAGGAAACAGGAGACCCAATGTTCCTTCTGATCCTCATTAGCTATTTCAGTGATATTCCCAGTCTTAAAATGGCAGGATATAGAGACCTGCTGGAAGATTGTTGAATAGATTTTTACTGCATCACGCACCAGGTGGCAGGATCAAAACTCGCACACATTTAGCATGGATCCGAGTATTACTGAAAAGACTGGTATGTGCCGATTCACTAATTTCAAGCTACTTTCAATTGGATAGAGTGATGAATCTTCATCGTACAGCGAAATTCATTTGAAGTAAGAAGAAGGGCAACAATATGTATGTTTTTAAGTGTATCCTACCTGCAAATGCCTCATCGGCTACTTGTGTCCTACTGACACGAGGAAACGTCCTTGTAAATCCATCAGTTACAAGTCCTATAAGCAAGGAAGGGCCTTAAAGAATCCATCCCTGAAATGGTAACATATTTATGCATTTTCTCGCATAAGCGACACACTATCGTGACCTACAGGTGCTAGTCTTTTTCATTGGGATTATATATCTGATGGCAACTGAAGACAAGATCTCGTCCAAACTGATTTTTGTTTCACGACCCAAGAGATCAAAAGATATAATGTCTTTTGAGACATTAAATCTTTTGTCTACCAAAAGTCAAAAGATTTCAGAGCGAAAAAGGCAAGCCCAGTAGAGGAACGTGTTCATCGAAAGGGAAATTGTGCAGTGAGGGTGAAGACGGAAAAGCCCAACGAAGCGGCGCACAGAATGACAGTAGTCATCGTGACGAGGATGAACGTAGGCTGCAGGAGAGATCCATGAGACCAGAATGACTGTCTAGTTGAAAACTAAAGCCAAGAGCAGACAGCAATAAGAACGTTTAGGAGCCGGTCCAGACTGCAGCAACTTTCTGGTCCTGCAGATGAAAAGAAGTTGGAGCAAGTGTGTGCGTCAGTGCGGGGAGAATACAGGAAGATAGAAGGAAATTCGAAAGAATGTTGCGATGGAATCGTGACAATTTCCTCCACGGGTTTCTATAGGAGAGCTTCGCTCCTGGTTTGTCAAGCACTAAATAAGTCTAGTTCACCTAACTCGTTACATTTTTCAATTCGGACTGGCAGGTTGGAAATGCTGGAATATAATACATTCCCTTGTAAGATACATTAGTCTAGTAAAATCTTTTTTGCTTTGAGGGTCTTCTACATCCTACTTAACATCTCCACGAAAAAGATCCCAAGTTGGAAAACTCATAACTAGTATACTCATCCCAAAGAGGCTGAAATAACAAAATTTGCCTATTGCTGATATTTATGTCCCTATGTATATATTGATACCATCAGATATATATATACTTATACAGCTGACACTGATGCCCCTAGGCAGAAGTATAAACTGTGAAAGGTCTCTCAGAAATAAAATAGAAGGAACACAGAGTGCTGCGCCAGGCTATACGAGAACCTCGTTAGGCTCACTTCGATACGGAGGAAAGAATGCTGTCTTCACGGATCCACGGTGTACGAGTCATGATGATCAACAAGAAAGAAAAACAGGCATGCAATCAGAATCAGTGTTGTGAGTCGTGTGGATGCAATAGAAAGGGTAGGCATTCCGATTCCAGGCATATTGGGTACTTACCAAATGCTGCTCCCGATGATCCACAGCAAGAGTTGCGAGATGAGTGAGAAAAATAAAACAAAACACATTGATAACGCTGACACGTTAACAACTCAATCACATTAAAGCATTCTCATCGAGACACACCGACAAGCACATTTTGAACATATAAGGAATAGGGGAACTATACCAGAATTGCTGACTACACTCATATCCAGGAAATGACTGGAGGATCTTAACAAGGCGGCGATGAAGTAGGCTATTGCTATGCAAAAGACAGGACTATGCCTTCCTTTAGGGCTTATGAGCTCACGGATTTCATTTAGATGTTCACCTCATATAATATGTTTTCTGATGTATACATCAAATTTATCTTGAACTGAAGTTCATTTAGCTGGGCAGCATTTTACGAAATAAAATCCCCTCGTTGAAACAGTTATATGAGAACAGTAAAGCAGCTGAGGATGGCAAAGGATGGCCTAGTAGACCGGAAGTTCTCAATAGATCAAAAGGATTATTGAGAAAATCACCTCCAACAGCTATTTACTCTGAAGATGGGCACTAGAACGGGGCACAGACAATTTTCTCCAACGTGCGACTGATATTTCTATGCTAGCACCAAGGCCTTCGCGAGACAAGAATCCAGCTCTGACGCGAAATAAGCTCATGGAACCAGACAAGGTTTCCTCGGATTTGGAACGTTTGGAACCCCCCCAGAAACTTCCCAGGGAACAGCGAAGAAACGCTGCGGTGAAGAAATCCTGGAGTGAAGAGATGTTATCCCACATTCCATTCTCACCGGCGCCTTGGGGGTGACGGAGGAGGGCGACTTTTCTTTCCGTCAGAGACCAGAGATTTCCCGTAACAGACAACACTGTATGTCCAGCTTTTCAACATTACTTTATCATTAAATTGTGTTCGATATTCAAAGATGAATCCCCAATTCTTACTTTCTCACATCCAGTTCGAGCGACGTCCGCGGCAAATTCTCGTATGGGTACTTTCCGAAGTAACTTCAGAACATCCAGACTGGAACCTTGATTTTACAAATGCATCGTTTCACAATTGAACAAACAGAATTTTTTTATTTTTCAGCTGAAGTGTCAAATTCAGCACCGTATAAGTCATCTTTCAACTCTTTCCTAGTGCCTGAGAATTTTTGGAGAATCCGTTCGCGCTAATGACTGGAAACCCTCAGCCTTCACTTATATGAAGCATAGAAGGGTCATATAGCTGTTTCCCATCATTTCTGTCCATAACGGTGTTGAGCTCATCCACCAAATCCACTCGTCTCGCCCTCAACCAAACGCTTTCATGCTGGCTTACCCCTTACAATTATCTTATCAAGCATCTGATAGTTGACTAGACTTAAATGAACCCCGTCCATGCAACCTCGTTAAGTTCCATACAAAAACTAATTTCCGCATCGATATTCATGCAAAAACCTCGTTAGAGCGATTAAAGCCTCATAGATTCAGGCTAACCTTTCTTGAGGGCAAAATTTAGGACTTCTTGAAGTTCTTCCCAGTCGATCTCCAGGTCTTCTCCAGCAATCTTCCGGAAGAATTCCCTCACCTTCTTGTCGTGTTCATCTTCTTCGGGTGTCTCCTCTTTCACCTACAATAATTCATCAACATTAGCTCTTCCATCTGTTGCGTCACAAAATTAGACTCCATTAACAAAGGAGCACAACTGAGGCATGCAATCAAGAAGCAATGCCACGAGCATGCATTATGAATGAATTTGCAATTAACGTGTAAATAGAGCCTCTCCACTTGAAGGTAGAGTGCACGATATAGAACAAGGCTTCCCAATCATTTCCTATGGGAGTCCCAAAGAGAACCCCCTATTAACTTCGGAAATGTTAAGGGTATGCGATTCAGGCAGGAAGACTCATCTTGCGAACGATCCATATGTATATGTATGTAAATGGAAAAGGAAAAAAAAAAGAAACTTGTAGGTCCTGATCTTCTTCGAAATCCTCAATTTTTGAATGAGTCCTTCGGGACTCAGGAGTAGAAAAAGGTTGAGAAGCTTTGGCAGTAAGGAAAAGAACAAAGAATTCCGTCAAGAAGATAGACTTACCTGCTCCGGGACGTCTGCTATGCCGACCTCTTGATCGTTCTCCCTGGAAAAAATCAAGCATCGACGCACTCGTTATAGGAACTCATTCGACGACGGACTGGAGAACCAGCCCCTTCACGTCGTGCATGTTCATCTGAGGAATGAGAGACGGAAGGCATACTCCATGTTGTTGCCCTTCTCGGAGAAGACGCGAAGGAGGAATTCCCCTTCCTCGTTGGGCTCGAAGGTAGAAGGGACGATGGCGTAAGAGCCTGGTGGCAGTTTGAAGCGGCAGCTCACTTCGCGCATGTTGATGAACGACGGGGATCGGGCCGTGGACGCCGTGAACTTGAAGAAGCTGACGTCCAGCGGCTTCGGTACTTTGTCCGGCGCCTCCAACTGCAACACGAACGGCAATCGTTATGTCGGTCCGTCGACGGCGGCACGGGTATCGATCGCCGCGTCGGTCGACCGGCTGCGGTGAACGCATCGATCACCGGGTCGGTCGACCGGCTGCAGCACGAGCATCAATCACCGGGTCCATCGACGGATTGCAGTATGTGCATCCATCACCAACGTCCGCTCTTTCGACTAGCATCTGGGTTCAAGCCCTCATCTCTACATCTTTACTCTGAAACAGCTTACAGAGTAATTGAAAAAAAAAAGATAATTACTTCTGCAAATGAAGCCAGCTATCACATCCATGCCAGACTCCCCAGAAAACGAGGAGAGAGAAATGAGAGACACGGCACGAAAAAAATCCAACTGAAGTTGGATCGGCATCTGCCTTTGAAACACGAAACCCCCGCTTTAGTTTCATGAATTCTTCAAATACCGATGACTCGGCGAGTGAATCGGCAACTTCTCCCACTGCCTCTATTCGTGAGGTCATCTTCGGGTTTCGAACGAGGCTTTAAAAGTAAAAACCCCATTTTGAACCACCTTAAATTTACGTCAAGTTCAAGGAGTGAGCTTTCTGTGAACGCGACGGATAGGTAATGGCAGGAATGGGAATAGTTGCAACAGCGAAAGTATTGATCCGAATTACCAGTGGAAAAGACGTGAGCGCTTCGACGAAGAACTGGAAGAGCAACCGAGAAAGGGAAGGCCGGGTGTAGGAAAGTCAGCAGCGGCTTGCCCCCATCGGCTAGCCCTCATATTCATTGCTCCAGACTGCTTCACGTTCTATTGCGAACATCCGAACATTTCCCGTTTTCTCGCATCAGACCAACGGGTGGCGTCCCGATAATAACCGTGCTCGTGTGAGCCTTTCCCGAGACCGGGAAATCCTTCTTCCCCCGCCCCGTCCCTCATCACATTTTATTTTTCCCCCCCAAAATGGAGCCGTCGAGAAGGAAGATTCCAATCGGCGGAGATCGATCAGGCCGTCAATTACGAGATGCGTCGTGTTGACGAAGCACTTGGAAGGAAGGAAATCAAAAATCGAAGGTTTGCCGGAGCGTTGGGAGAAATAAAAGTAGCTAAGAAACATATATATGGAAGGCTAAACGACACCTTTGCATGATCCCATCAACAATATGAACTATTCATATATTCATCGATTTATTTTCTCGATTTGATTAAATGAACTTTTCGATGACCTTCGTAGATCGATTGGTGCTCGGTGGCCGGCCAATCGCTTATATTTGGCACGAGATCGGCACAATACAAGGCCAGAGGTCCTGCGTCGAGGGAAAATTTACCACAGGTGTAAAAACCGATCACCAAATCTATCTGAGCATGCACTAATTCTGTCCAAAACACTGCGATTGACATTTTTCAGCAAGTACACTGCGATATCCGCGCGCTCGACGTGATTTGTTCCTGAACTTTCCCACAGTAAGCAGATGACATTTTCGAGCCATCCCATAAAAAAAAGCGAAGCAGGGAAAGATATGGAGAGCGCGGGGGAAGGGGAGGGGGATCGGAAAGGTCCTCTACGGCCGATCCGCCTCCCGGAGTAATGCGAGTCCCATCCCCCCGACGCAAAACGCTTCTCCTACACCCCGTAGATGGACTGACCCTCGGCAGTCAAACGGCCCATCCTCTGAACATCCTCTGGCCGACGCCGGCAGCGGAGGAAGGCCCGAGTACTGCCAAGAATCTGTCGTCAGTCAGACGATTCCGGTCGCCCGTGTGGTGACTTGGAGGCATCCACGAAGTCTTCCCGGAAAGCAATCGCAGAAAAGGCGCGGCTCGGGGACTTAAAAACGCAGACTTTAGTCCAGCTATCAATTCAGAACCAATTCCTTTTTCTCATCGGTTTATAGTTTCGTGTTACGGATGCAATTTTTTTATTCGATTCAGGAAGTACTACTGAAATGTTAAATATCTCAATAATGAATGGAATCAAATACGGCTATCTTCAGAGCTTGTCAAATTTAATTATCCACTTATTTCTTTCCGGGGACACATACTACAATACATTAAATATAAATATGCTGCATATACAGGTAGTATTTTGAGATTTCCCAAGTGGCAGCTTTAAGGCAAAGCGATATCTTCATTTCTCTCTTTCATTAATTTAGAGTGCACAACCATGTCGTCGTCCCCTACCCCCTCTCCCACAAGAGTGGAAGGGAAATTAAGCTCTGCGGAACGATCCAGATGGGTGTAGAATCGAAGCCCCAACGGATCTCTCTGGGGATCTCCATCGGAAGGGGTGATCAGTATCGAAAATCGCCACATTGTTGCACGAAACAAGAATACATGCATTCTGCGCACCTGGGGCACATAGGTAAAAATCCCATGAAATGACCTGTATTTTCCTGCCGAAAAATATTCCATCTGCAACAGAGGAAGTATGAGCAGAAGAATTGGAGCGGGACTCGATGATGAGGGAACCCAATAGACTCATGACATAATTGGATGTCTCTGCACCCGTCCTCGCATGCATCCAACCACTTTTCCCCTAATCAATGAAAGCGGAGTACTCCATATCGTCGGCCTGCCCTCCCATTGCAATCGGATATACCCATCTCGTTTCATTCATTATTTATCGCTTCTCGTACCGGCCAGTAGCATTCTTGGTAAAGCCTACGTGTCGTGTAGCATGAGTCTCTTCCATGGGCGGCTCGTGAAATTCAGCAGTAGTGGATCGTCAATGGAGGCAGAGTAGGCCCGGGCCTACCCTACTTTCACTAAGAATTCAGTACTGCTGAATATCACGAGCCAGCACTGGTCTCTTCTCTCTTCCAAAGCAGTTTCCAGTCGTTCGAGCATCTTTGGGATGGTTTAGGAGTAGGTCTTCATGCCATTATTTTCGTCGAACGCTCTCGTGATATCGACATTTACGGGCCGAACGAGTTCTCACGGAGAGGACTACACGTCGTGAGCCCATAGCAGCATACTCGACACCTACCGATCCTCGTCCGAGTTGGGGTAATTGCTTGCTAGATCGCGCGCAACATTTTAAACAATCTCCCATTAAAAGTCCATTAAACCTCCCTTTTGCCCTTTACTTCATTTGTCTAGAGCACTTCATAATTACTTAGCTCGTCGTTTTTTTATACACAAATTGAGTGGAAAATATATCATCCCTTGGCGTCTGGCGACCGTCGCAGTAGTTGAATGCTGCGATGATAGCAAGTGGAGTAGATAGCGGAGAAAAAGCAGGAAAAAGAAGCCTCACGTGATATACGGCGTATCCGATGGTGAGGCAATCGAGTCCAAGTTTCCGTTGAGAGCGTCGATTCTTTTGCATGAGGGCCACAATCACCGTGCATTTCTCCTCGTCGTCGTCGTCGTCTGGATCATCCAGGGTGATTCGGTATTGAGGATTCAACCAAAAGGTGTCTGCAACAGAACGTCGTTCGTTCATGTCATGGTTTTCCCTCGTTATATCCAGGCGACGTCGAACGACAGGCACTGGATCGGGTGTAACCCGCATCGTTCGATTGCCACATGCGAGAACTTATCTGTTTGCACTTACGCGAGTATGATGTTCCTTTCCTACACAATTGCTGGTGAAACTATGCGTATTTTATGTATTGTTATTAACTTATGCTTTTTTTCGTTTGGTATGTAATTAACCCTTATACATTTTTCATGTCCTCTCTTCAATGTTTCTGTATATTCATTAATACTTTTTAAAATTCGCTTTCAAAGTCCGCTCAAGCTAGCAGGAAGTATGAAAAACCACATAAGTTCTTCTGGTAAGAATTGCAAGAATGCGGTCGGGAAGTTGAAAAATAGACTGACCGAGGTAATTCCGGCATCCTCCGGCAGTGGATCCACGGATCCAAGAGCCTTCGTACACGCTCATTTCCCACTTGGTCTTCGCAGCCGACTGCTCGTCGTCCTCGAGGCTATCCGGATTCAAGTTGCAGATCTCCAGGCGCTGGAAGTTGGCGAGGAAGTCCTTGAAGGACATCCAAAACTCGCCGTCATCGTCGAAGGTGAGACCGATGCTCTCCTTCTCCTCCTTCGGGATGAATCGCCATTCCGGGGACCTGTTCGAATCGACACGTTACGTGTTCGTCCCTCGGATACCGCGAAAGAGAAATGCCAGATCGAGAGAGTTTATCGATGGAAGCTCGCACTTCCGTCACAACTGGACGAGACCGACGCCTTCGCATCGGTTCGTTTCTCGGGAGGGTCGACGTTCATTTAAACAGTGGAATCGAGCGAAAAATAGTCGCATCGCAGGAATGCAAGATGAGAGGTACTAGGATCGATGACGACATCTCCTACTTCGCATTCTCTTCGCAGTGACGTGAGTGGTGGAAACCCTGAGGGTAAAAGGATGGAAGATTGCAGGGTCTGAGCCATCTTTCACACTCAAGGTTTTCAAATACGCAGTTGCATTCATGCCCGAGAATCTACGAAAACATCACGTCGGGTTGCCACGGATCGGCTCGTCTCGATGAAACGGGGGACTCTTGGACGCTTCAAAGCTCGAAATTCCCCTGCGTCAGCATATTTTTGATATCGTAGATGATAAGAGGAAAGAGTGCATCGATTCAGTGCACGTGAAGATAAGAGGTTAGCAAAAAATTGTTCCAGATATGAAGGCATCGTTCTATGTGATCTTCGCTCGACAAGAACGGCCGACTGACAAGTCTCATGTACTTTCTTGATTTTTATACGACGTGATTTGGAAGAGATGAGAGCATGACGATGAGGAATGGGAGTGGCTCTCTGTGGCACTCGATGCCACTCCTCCGTCCGAGCACGAACAGTACGGAAGAAAGGGAGTGTCATCCTTCCCTCCGAGCACGAACGGCTCATCTCTCCTTCGGGAAGGAGCGAACACGGATGCACTCGACTGTACTGCGTCCGCTGGAGTTGCCAAATCCACCGTCCGCGAATACCACGTCCTTCAACTCTTGACATCATCATCGACCGATGTATACGTGCGGAGAAGTGAAAATGCCAAGAAGCATTCCCACCGTTTCCTTTTTGTTGCGTGCGTCCGCCTCTGCTCTGACAAGATGTCAGAGATCCGGGATCCTTTCGTGTCTTCCCAGCCGCGTCTCTGTCGCTTGCGTCGATTTTCCAAAAAATAAAGGTGGAAGGATGCGGTACCCATATACCCTCATCGTCATACCTTACTCGTTCGACGATTTCATAACAGTGCATAGAGCACCGTGAAGCAAGAATTGCGCTTGAAATCTCAAATAAGCTGGAATGAGCACTTAGACCGAGTGAATAACACACGATGGGGTAGAATAATAGCGCTCCATCGTGATTGTGACCTTTACTCGAACCCTCCCGCAGATCCCATTTTCACCTAGACCGCTTTCCCTTCAGGTTACAGAAGGGAGCTTACACTACATCATCAATTCACGGACATAGTAAAGGCACAAAGGGGAATGGAGACGGTGTCCTTCCAAAACGTTAAGTATCACAAAGGCACCATCTGCTCAAGATATCAGCAATAAAAAAACAAGCGCTGATATCTTCCGTTGCACTGGAAATTAGAAAATAAAAATACTGCTGCAGCAGGAAGTTCTTAAGATGTTGTGCCGAAGAAATGTCATTCAGAAATCACTGACGGTGCCAAGTACAAAATTGGCATAGTGTGATAAGGAAAAGTAGAATTGAAGGGCTAAAGGGAAAAGTGATTTGTCTGCAAAAAGTGTTCGAAGGTTTAATTGGTTTACTGCTCGTAGAACTCTTTTCCTCTCATTGAAAATGGTAGTTTTTGGGAATTATGTAAACGAGGAACTTGTATTTATGCATACCACTTTCCCTACATTCTAAGAAGATAGCCCCAGGAAAAATCTCTTCCTGCCGAGTGGGAGAAAATAATTTTTTGCAGATAGATCACCTTTCATTGGCGCCCTGTAATTAAGCTAGGAATAGTTTCTCGGCGATGGCTCTGAATGTTTTTGAATCGCTCTTCATAGGCGCAAGTCTATCAAGTGTTGTTGGTATTGTTTTCAGGCCCCATACGAATCTTCGTTTCGTACGAAAGGGCTTTAGTTTTATAAGGCGAGTAAGACGACGGACGAAGAACAGAAGCGTTCCACGGCTACTCCTAGAACGCTCGACCACGATAATTCACTCATGATCCTGAACCATTCGACCGTCACCAGGTGCGAGAGGGGAGTTGATCCAAAATTGACCACGTCTACGGAATGGTCACAATCTGCCGCGAGAGAGGAGTAATGCATATCGGGAGGAACTGACTGATCGCTCCAGGCGCCTTTCCATTCGGCCTCGTTTCCCCAGGGATTTCGGATCCGGACCAGAGAGATTTTTCCCGACATCCGCGGAGTGTTGATGTCGATGGACTTCACTTTGGTCACGCTGTAAGCATGACCCCGGATCAAGCCGTTGTCCAGCTGCGCTTCCACCACGTTTGGGTCTGGCTGAAGAAACAAAACCAGCAACCGCATCATGCGAAGGCTCCAATACTAAACCGATTCTCGTTGACACCGAAGGAAATACACCAATTTCGATAAAAGAAGCCGACAAGTTATGTTCTTTTAAAAATATATATTAAGGAACCAATATATAAATTTACTTATTTATCTGAAGGGGCATCCATTAGAAAACATTGATGTTCGCAAACTGTGCATGAAAATGCAGTGATATATGACAGGTTATTAAACGTTACGAATTCGAATACTTAGATGGCGGTGACTGGCCGATGGCTCATATTAATCAGGGATTAGTGCTGCGTATCTTTACGGCCACAAGGGTGACACAGAAGCATATCAGTATATGGCTTACATCGATGGAGCATCCCATCAGGGAGGATCTCTCATGGGCCTTAAGCATGATGTTGAAGAGATTCGGAGGAGCCTTTTCGAGTTCGTACATCTCTGTCACTCCTCCCGTGAAGTCCTCCATGGCCTCCACCGTCGTTCCTCCCTTCAGTGCCTCATATGATCCATGAAGCCTACAATCATATATTTCACACCTTTTACTCTCACCAGGGAAAACATGACCAAGGAAAGTACGGCACATTTAGAGATGCGTGATTTATGTGGTGCCTAACTTGCTCTTCGATCTAAGTATTCAACCACGTTCAAAACTGACCTGCCACACGTAATCGACTGTTTTGAGCTCAATTAATAATTCACTGGTGCCCTATTATTGGCCTGGAGCGACGGATAAGTTCCTCTTATTGATCAATGAAGAGATTTTCAACATTAACCTTCTCGAAATACAATATAGCTGCAGATTCATTAATCATTTGATTGGCTTAAAAAATTATGACGTTCTTAAGCAACAAAAAGCAATATCCCGACGGAAGTAATCGGAAAAGGACGCACTTGGCATAAGCCTTCTCGAGAAGGGCGGACCAGAATTCATTTTTGTCTTTGGAGTGAAGGAAGGTGAGCCTGCCATAATAAGTGGGAAGCCGGTCGTCCACCACCACGTCCACCCACCGGCCGTATTGCCAGAACCTGCAGCCAAGAAACGGAGGAGGCATTCGCCCGTCATTCTCTCGTCTGTCTTACAAGACGGTTTTAACCGAGTGTTTACTTGCCTGAAATGGAAGATCCCGGCATATTCCTGGTCGAACCACTGATCTTCGGGCACGATCTGGTGGAACAGCTTGCTGTTCAGTGTGAGATTTGCCACCGCGGCCAAAAGCCAGCAATCTCCTGGAAGGGCCAAAAGAACCGGAAGAGGTTTCATCCAGATGCATCCTCACATAAATACGTCGAGATGGAGTCACGCGAACGTGTTCACACGTGTGAGCATTACTAAGGCGTGCAGAGTGTTTTTGGACGGTTTCCGAGAATCCCTTCCCCCATTTCTAAAGCTGGCACGTTCCAGGGTGCGAATGCCTCGACAAGGAACAACGAGATGCCAACTGTTCCCCCTTCCAGGTCGCGCAGTCCTCACTTTCTCCCACGCTCCTCTTCGCCCTTGCTTATCGGCGAAGAGGAAGGGTTCAAATCGGACACGAATTGTCAGAAAATTTCGTCGATCAAACGACACGCGAATGTGAGGGCTGAGAGATCGAAAAATCTGTTTGAAAATCGAGATACAGGTAAATCGGTGATCCCGACTCGACTCGCGGGGTAGAGGAAAATAACTGACAAAAATTAGGAGCATTCCCGAACTCGTCACGACCCCAGTAGCACAAAACATTGAAACATTGATTGAAGGCTGATTCAACATCCGGATGTTGATTCAATGCTTATTTTAAGTTGATTCAATGTTATGTGTTACAGGGGTGATTGATGCCCAGAAACAAATAAATAAATTGGAGGCGTTTATTAAAAGAGACAGACCTAATTCTCCCTGCTGAACATCAAATCGGCTCACTCCTTCCACGAACAGCTTCGGACTGTCGACCAGCTCCTGCAAGCAAAGAGGCCATGAGATCGCAGCATCACCCAAAAACGATCGCACCACGTTCACAGGGTGATCGTCATCACGACTCAATTCATTAAACAATAAGTTCAAGGCAGAGAGAGCTATTTCATCATGCCAAGGGATTTATAACAGACATTGCAGCAGATATGGAATGACGTTTTTCTTTCCGGACAATATTTTCCAAGTAATGCTATAAAAGTGGAAGGTAAAGAAGGAGATCTGAAGGTGAGAGAATGCGAATGCACCATCGGTCGATCCGATAGCAGGGCGTCCAAAGTGCCAGTCCATCTAAAACTTTTATTATTAACCTTAAGTAACCATTTACTTCATGAATGTACAATGACGACCGGTAGACTGCTAAACGATGTCACACCACTTACGATGTCACCACACTTCTCCTTACGTTTTCCTACGGGCGAAAACTAATTTCTTTAAACCCTTACTTAAAAACCGCGAGGAATGAGGAGTCGCTTCATTCCTTAAGAGTTAAAGCCAAATCCACGATTTTTCGGAGATTGGGTCTTCCTTCTTTCAAGGTATACGTGAACTACGAAAATTATCACCAAAAGTGTGAAGATTCGTATGTTCCACGACCGGAACGTCGAGGAACATGCTTCTTGAATTTTAATTTAGGGCATCTACGAATGGAGAACGTGCTGAAGCACCGCGTCGGGTTCATTAAACCAAAACAAAGGTCAGAGAAATTAATTCTCAGACACACCAAAATGGAATAAGGAAAGATGTGACACCATTCCGAGGTCCACAGATGAGTCTCCACCCACCCAATAAACGGTTCCCTTGGATTCTCTATAGACACCCACTACTTCTCCCGTGACATATTCACTACTTTAATTTTCAGCTTTTCGCTCGCTTCGTGTCCAATTGGGCACAGGGGCTGAAAATAGTTTTGAATTATTTAAGGTATATTTTGACCCTTAAATTTATCCATGAGATACTTTCTCTGAAGCATAAAATCCATCCTGACATTTTCCACCCAAATGTAACAAGGACAAAAAAAAATTACTTGTCTAATAACAGTTGTTGTCATGAAAAATATAGATTTATTTGCATCCTAGGTTATGCAATCAAATTTTTTTAAATGCAAAATAGCTTTAAAAATGGACTTAAAATAAACAGGTACTAAAAGGGTTCAAGTCATTTTGAACATTGAAAACAAGACTCTTAATCCTTTTCAAAAGCTTTATATGGGTCTGTCCTTGCCAAATGATTCAGCGAACTTCGGCATGAAATTTCACTAAATTTGTAGTTTGTACTGCTTTCTACAAGAAAGTTCATACTCTCTACGCCCCAAAGGAACGAATGAATGTTATTTTAAATTAAAAAGTAGCCATTTGTAAAGTAATATTTCGTGAGTACGACTCACGCGATACTCATTGACATAGAAATGCAAATGTGGAAAATGAATCGGACTATTGGAGTACATGACAGCAGGGTTTCTCCCAGGCTGAATCATGGTCTAAAATAAGCTGAGGTTCGGAGAGAACATGCCAATTTTTTCCCGTTCGAGTCATATTCTAAGCCGAACATCTAAATAAATAAACAGACTTTCGTTTTAAAATAAACCTTGAGAACATGTCGCATCCGAAACGGTCGCAAAAAAAACGGGTAAGTTACTTTTCTTAGTACTGTAATCAGAGGGTGACTGGCGGGCTCCAAAATATCGTTAAAAATGCGCAGGAAAGCAAGTGACTCATACTTTGGTTTCATGAAATGTCACATCCAACACTTTCTTCGCACACGGATACGTATCTAGCAAAGGAAAGCCTTCAGAACTTTGGAACGTGGAATTTTCTATCACTGCCTAAGGCTGAATGTTGCGGCCTTTACAAATTGATTTGTCGTTTGTAAGGTTGTTAAATATACTTTGTGTACCAGATACATTACTCTGGATGCGACATCTAACGCTGTGGACAGTCCCAAATGCAATTATAAGAATTAAACTACCGACAGAAACAATGCGGTATTAAATAAAGGTAGGGCATATATAAAGGGTGAACCAAAAGCCGCACAACATAGTAATTCCCCCCCCCCTCCTTTTTTTTCCTTCTTAGGTAATACCAGTTCTAAAGGATAAATGTTGCATTACTTATGAAGGGTGACAAGCATACAGCAGGTGAAAGGGTCACACACAAAGGATGGTAACATACGCAAAAAAGACAAGACAACAAGACGACAGCGACCAAGAACTGCCAAACCGGATTCAGATTCAATGTGCCATAATAGCAACAGGAATGTCAGAAAGTGTTCAGCGCTCATGGACCAGGCATGCTCAGACGTCTTTGCAAAAACAAGAGCGAAAATGTATGAATATGCAAGATTGAAAGTGAGATTCTGCATGCAGCGCGCCTTTCGGTGGACCCTGCTTCGATTGGTTCTCAACCTTTCCTTAGCGAGAGCATACTTCCCGGATAGGGAGATATCCGCGGCACCCTTACACATCCGCGAACCTCCAAGCACATAAGTATAAGCATAACTAAAATTAAGAAAGCCAGGGCCTCTGAATCCATTCGTTAAATGCAGGGGTGCACAAGACACGGCCCGCGGTCCACCATGACTTGTGGCAAAGCAAGTGCTAATATGGCTCCTGCCCTGTTGGCCACAGTCATGGTCAGATGGACTGCGGCCCGCGGTAGGTGAGTAAAAATCGCAAATGGTCCTCACACCTTTTTTTACGTTGTGCATCCCTGGTTAAAGGTATTTTTCGGGCACTTGGCGAGACAATCGCAGCAAAAAATGAATTCCAACTCTCCATTTTTAACTTATTACACTTGATTGCGAAACATGTGTTTGTCTCTGGTTGCACAAAAATTCTAGACACGGTTAATATTCATTTAAATTATACATTTGAAGTGATTTGTAATGCCAAGACGGGATCTGAATTTTTTAAAAATATTCTCAGAATACGAGACGGTCGATATACATACGATCAATCGACAATACGGTGCTGAGAGCGATCGAGATCTTCATCGCAACAACGATATTTACCATGACATTCCTCCTTAATGTGTATCCCGGGAGGACACAATGAGTCGATTTTCATCAAAGTTGCTTCATCTTGTGTACTCCTGGCACTAAACATTCTCTCGAGAGTAGGCTAAAGTCAGAAGTGTCGCACTCTGACAGCTTACTATAGAAGAGGTTTCCTGCTCGTTAAGTGACGCGGCTCACAATTACCCCAATAAAGAAGAAAAGCATCCTCCTAGCCTCCTTGCTAGCTTCTTAGCTTCCTAGCCTATTTCGTCCACAGGCGGAAGAAAAAATAAAGGTGGGAACCCCCAGGCATCCTTGTCGGCCTTTGGCGGCGGCACGGAAGTTCAAAACCGCTGCCGTGTATGATTAAATCGCTGATCGATGCGTTACCTCTCCGTCTCTTAGAGTACCGACAAGAACATTACGGCACAACACAGTACAATTCTTAGGAAGCAAAAAAAAATTTTTTTTTGGTAGCACTAAAGATGGTAGTGTCCAGTGCAACATTTCATGCTCTCAAATTCCATCTCGCACTGCGCCATGCAGATTACTAGATGATCAAGAAAACGCGAGTGTCTTTAAGCTTATGTTCACATCCCACGTCGAAAGACAAGAGCAATGCGAGATGCTAGCCCGAATACACAGCGCCAGAGATCCAAGTTTTCGTGTAAGATTCGGATGGAATTATCCCATGGAAACGGATACGGAGAGAATCGAGACGCGAACGCGAAACAACTCGACTGGCACACGACTCATGACGAGGCAAACCGTTCGCGTCATTCTCCTCGCAACATTCCGTAGTGAAGGAATCCCGTGCAAGTGTGCCGCACGGTAAGTTCTCATTTTGAGAAGATCGGTTGGGACTTGAAAGTCCTTAGCAGACGGCAGAAAACGGAAAGGAAGAATTCGTACGTGAGGTCGTTTCCATTGAAAAGGCTTGGGCGGAGCACGGGAATAGAAGATGGAGACATCCTCCGCGGGGAATTCGGGGTCTTCCCACAACGTCCCTTCTTCCAGGCATTTCTTCCGGATCTCGTAGAAATCCTGCACCTCTCCTCGAGGACGGATGCCCGATCCCCTCTCGCCCAACTGTTACACACAAAAAATAATCAAAATGCATCACTTCGTGACTTAAAAGGTCCTTACGATGGGAGGGTGGGGGGAAAGACTCGTGGCGAGTCCAAGTACGCAAGAGCATGAATGAAAGAATCGATTGCGCGCTCGCAAACATCTACAGTATAGGAGATGGAAATCAACTATCGCGTCGATCTCCGAAGTGCCGACGCTTCTCCGCTACGATCCCTGCAGGAATGAAAGTGGAAAACGCCGAGATGAGGACAGAGGCCGAGCAGAGAAGCACCGAAGGGAGAGGGGTGACTATCGATCTGGAGATCCGTTTATGGCAGCGGGGCCATTCGAGGAAAGCCGCGGAGTTCCGACGGGGGGAAGAAGAAGCAGCCGAGCAACGGAGCTGCTTTTCCCCTCCCGATCCTTCCGTTTCTTCCCTTCAGGTTTTCGAGAGACGGAGCGTGGAGTCCCTGACCGTCGAAAACGGCAGGAAACGACAGGCTGGGACCGGCCACTTTCTTCGGCTAAGGCCGAGGGCCGGTCGATACGGTACGAAAATAAGAACCCATTCATTTCTATTAACCTTCTTTCCACAGGGTTGTAAGCTTACGAATCCTTTGGTCTCGGATTCGGTCCGCGTGACCTACAGAGATGGATTCAGAAAAAAAAACTAGGAGTTGGGTACAAGGGAGAATGGAGAAATCCCCCAGGAGTCGAACGCGAGTCTCTGCAGTTTTGAGGCAAATGGGCTGCAAAACGAGCCGGAATTTCTCTGGAAACACATGCCATTTTTAAGGGTGGCTCCTCCCGTCGGTGAAAGAAGACACACACGGGCGTTTTAAGGATTTCCAGGCCCATCGCATTCTTCACGCCCACCACACCTTAATCTTCTATTAAGAAAAAAAATTTCAACCTTCACCTTCCCATACATGGATACGACAGCGTGGCGAGCTGCATGACGATCGAGGAAACTGCGGTCACCGACGATGCGAAGCAGTGAGAAAGACGATGCCCCGGAGCATCTCCCGACAGTCCCAAATCTCTCGAAGCGATACGATCGCAACTCTAACTGTAAGTGTGCTCGTGCATTACACTTTTTCCTCGCTTAACGTCTGCTGGGAAGACAGGATCTGGAGTTGTTACTTCTCGCGTCAGGGTCTCACGGTTCGCCGTGCAAAAAAAAAAAAAAAAACCATTCCGCTGGCTTCGCTGACGAAAAAGAAAAGCGAACCTTGAGGGTAACGGGAGAATTCAGGTCGCACATGAGCACATGATTCTCACGTCTCACAAATTAAAAGCGACCACATCCCATGCGATGCAGAAACAAACTCCGTCGATCGGTGTTCCCCGACGAAAGAATCTTATCTTATCGTCGACGCGAACCCGCAGAGGATGAAAGATCGGAGGCCGACAAATGTCGTCCCTCTCGCTTCTCACTTCCGATCCCTCGAGTACAGATGAATCACTCCGTCATCACGGGCAATCCGTCGCTTGCGAGGGATCAACGGGAGATGGAGGGTCACCGCGGGGAGAGATAACTTTCAGTCACTCGAGCTTTCGCAAGAAATGTCCACGTGTGCATGAGAGCTCTCCACGACGTCGAATCTCTCGTGCAGGAATTTGAATGGAGAGCCCAAAAATGAAGGGGTTTCCTGGCTTCCTGCAAGTATTCGGTGTCGATGACTGTCCATTCGCGCAAGTAACGCCCTGGCAACGGGATGGAATGCTGTCCCTTTATCGCAGCCCAGCGCGAATCGAGATGGTAGTTCCCATTCCATCGTTTGTCACCGATGCCGAGAGAGACACAGGCTTCTCCTTTCCCGAGAATAGACGATCGAGGTCGAAACGATCGCGTGACGTTTTCGGAAGTCTTTAAAACGATGCAGTGGAGATTCGACAGACGAGGTACGTGGAACGGCCGAATGGTGCACGCGGAGGTAAAGCGAGTCGAGTGAAAAAAAAAAAAGCCAAGATGGCACGAGACGTCTGATCGACGAAACCGGCGCGTCTCCGCTTCGTGTCGTCATCTGACATCGGGCCTAGATGTGACGAGGGACCGAAGGAACCTTGAGCCAGAGTTGTGCCGGGCCGTCTCCGTCGCGACTCGTCGCTCTCGACTGGCGCCTTTCGCCTATCGAGAAGGCGACCGAGGGGAATTTTCCTCTTGCGATCCACGAAGCTCTCGGGCGCCGCCACGCACGATTTCCGAAACCGAACGGACTCGGAAAAAAAAATTCCCAGCCGAATGAGTTCGTTCTCGTCGAACCGAGGCTTCAAGTGCCCAGTTCGCTGAATCTATCGAACCGGTCTGGTACTAGAGGCGCCTACTGCGTTGGACTCTCATGGGAAATTTCACATCAAAATGCATTCTCGTGTCTTCCGTTCCACTGCGATGTTCGAACGCATCGATACCGACTATCGAACACGGACGACTACTAGTTATCCAGATTCTTCTCGACGTGTTCCTGTCTCAGTACGCCTCTTATTGCTGTCGTAGACGACTTCATCCGTATAAATGGCTTCCATTCCCTGTTCACACGAATGTCCGACGCAAAGGAAAATTCTCATCGGAAAATCTTTCCCGTTACAAATCCTTCGAAAACGTCCGGGGAGAACCAGGGAAAACGAGCCTTCGACGTTCCGATCGACATTACATTACATCTTTCACGGGCGAAATGGTGACAGGAATCGACGAGGATGAAGCAGCACGAAAAAGCGAAAAAAGGACGAGATGACCTCGCCAGAGGAGAATGAGCCTGCTGCAACCGAGACCCATTCCATCGCATCGCGTCCCGCGATTTGCGAGGAAGCGCGGCCAGTATCGTCGCGGAGGTCACTTCATCGGCAAGAACGCACAGAAGGGCTTCGTACGTTCTCGTGGGTTGGATCGAAAAAAGAAAACCAGAAGAGTTTTGGAGCCTCTGTGCTTCCAACGCTCCCCATCCGGTTTTTCTCATGCACGCACGTTTCCTACACCCTTCGGTAGCTCGCTTCTCGATGGAACTCCTCAATCTTTTCAGGCTTCTGCCGTTTTTGCTTCTCTTCCCGAGAGCGAAAAAAATAACGCTCCGATCTCAAGGGAACTTTTTGAGGCCTCAAACGAGACGGTCGCCTTTTCCCCTCCGCACCTCACCGTCTGATTTGAAGTCAGCCGGGTGGATTGCACCCAGAAAGCATAAATGATGGAGATTCGCATCGGCTTTCTCGATGCCAAGCCTCGTTTCACCTCTGCTCTTTTCCCACATTTTTTTCCCTTCCTCTTGCCGATGTTGTTTCGAACGGAAGGGACGGAGTGGAGTTCTCTCTCTCTCTCTCCGCCGATGTTTAGAGTCCTCGGACCTCGAGAGAATGTAAATCGGGACCGGCCACCGAGGCTCATCTGGCCCGCGTATCCCTGCATCGCATACGGAATTTCGAGACTCTGGGGGTCCTCTCGTCTCGGACGTTCGATACGGAGCCGGTGAATGGGACGAAACGAAAGGCCAGGATAAGGGCAGCACGCCCAGCGCCCTTTCTCGGGTCCCTTTTCGAGTCCTTTCTCGAGCTCCTCGAGCCCCTCTCGAGTACCTCTCGTTTTGGTGTCCCGAGTTCCGTTCCTCCCGCTATCGTTTCACGAGTGGCATCGAGAGAATTTTTCCACTCCCTCTTCCTCGTATCCTGGCGATGGCGAATCCGTTTTCCGGGGGGCCAGGTGACACCTTCGACGCGATGCCTGGCCGTCGCGATTGCCAGAGACGAGTGCAGACGCGATGCCTGGCCGTCGTGACTGCCAGAGATACCTTTTCCGCGTATAAAGTGGGTTTCATTAATATTTCTCTCCTTCGACGCCATAAAGCTGCTTTGTATGTCATGTCGTTGTAGAGTAGTACTGGTGTCGTAAGTCGTAGTGTCGATGCGACGTAGAATACTTCGACGAGGATATGCCATAAAAACAGTTTCATGGCGATCTACGATTCTCGATGGTGGCTTCCACGCGAGAAACGCGGAAATCCGAAGCCCGATTCGCAAGAAGACGGCTCTCGATTGGATTTTGAAATGCAAGAACCGGCGCGGTCGAGACGTTCTTAGCACTCGGTGTCCGGTTGCGAACGTACGAGGAGTGAAACGCGGTTGGATGAAATCCCTCTACAGCAGGTGACTGCGAGAAGTCGCTCTTCGTTTTGCATGCGACTTGGGAACGGGACAGGTGACGCTGCGGGTGGTACGACTCCCGCGAGGTGACGTTGCGGGTGGCGCGACTCCCGTGAGAGACCGCCGAGGACGATCTCACGGCCGCGAGTTCCAGACCCGGCGGAAGGAGCAGTCGCTTCCCGACTTCTTTTTTCCTCGTCCGGCTTCTCGCTCGAGGCTCGCGGTTCCTCGCATTCCGGTTAGGAAACTCGTTCGTCGACGAGTGAAAGGATGAGGCATCCCGGAGACGTCCGGCACTCGGAAAGAAATCCATGAATCTCCCATCCGGAACGGCTCGGACGTTCCACCGGAGAAGAGGAGAAAAGCCTCGGAGACGTGCCGCTCCGCACCACAACCGAGTCGAGGAAGAGGAAAGTCGGTTCATTTCGCCTGCAATAGCTACATTCATCTCGCTCCTTCCTCGTACTCTTCCGGCATCCTTGCGCGTATGGTCGCGTTTCCAGCTCGGAACGCGTTACGAGTGGAACTCGGCTTCTGATCCGGTTCCGTCGCTCCGACCGTTCGCATCGAAACGCGCGAATCCGGACCGAAGCAGACGAACGTTGCGAGCGGGCCGAGTCACGACAGGTGACATCATCTGGCATCGTCATAGAGAACTCTCTTGCAGCACCCTGATTTCCGGCAGCGGATGGTGAGATTCGCCTCATTTCTCTCCGCATTCGGATTTTGCAATTCGGAACGGAAGGAATTCTAAACGGCGCGGGCCTGCATCCCGGAAGGAACCGGATGATCCCTGGCCATGACGACGTGTTCGCCTGGGACTCTGGAGGAGACATCACAACATGAAACATCACACGTTCTCTCCCTTTCCGCTCGTAACGAAGGGATCTCGTCTCTCTGGGACACGCGTACGACATCCCTCGATGCAACGACATCCCTCGATGCAGCGACACCTCCTGCATGCTACGAGTCTCTTCCTCTCTCTTTCCCGAGTTATCAAAATATACGTCTGACGTCCGGGTGGAAATACGTTCATCGTCTTCGTTCTCCTCGAAGAGAACTTTCATCTCTCAGGACGACTGG